ATCATTAACACTTTGAAATCAATGCGGAAATGAACAGGCAGCCAATGCAAGGCAGCCAGAGTGGGGGAAATATGCTGATATTTTTCTCACCCCAGTGAGAAGTCTGGCCACTGAATTTTGCACTATTTGAAGCTTCCATATCAATCTCAATGGTAGCCCCACGTAGAGCGCATTACGGTAGTCTAATCTTGAGATTGCAAGTACATGGACGAGGGCGGTGAGCGCCCCGACATCTAGGCAGGGACGCAGCTGGGCAATTCATCACAAATGGAAATAGGCGGAACGGACCACTGACGCCACCTGGGTTTCCATGGTGAGCGCTGGATCCAGATGGACCCCCAAGCTGCGAACCTTACTCTTCACAATGAGAGTCACTCCCCCTAAAGAGAGGGAGTTTCCCAAACTACCGATGAAGGGGCCACCCACCCTCAGGACCTCCGCCTTGTCCGGGTTCAGCCTCAACCCATTCACCTGCATCCATTGCCGAACAGCCTCCAAGCAGCGCTGAAGGGACGGAACAGCATCTACTGCTGCTCGAGGAATTGGAAATTAAAGAGAAAGCCAGAGCTGAAGAGAGAGCTGAGGCCAGACAAATGGAATTAAAAGAAAGTGAAAGGCATTTTCAACTGGAGATGAGGAAATTAGAATTGGAGGCCCAGAACAATAACAACTCAAGTATGAATGTTATTCCCCCCAAGATTGATTTAAAGACATTCCCTCAGTATAGACAAGGAGATTGCCCATAAGGATCGGAGCCGGGCAAGCGCCAGGCCACTGATTCCCAGCTCAGAGAGCCTCCCCACGAGGATACCGTGGTTGACGGTATCAAAGGCAGCTGAGATGTCGAGGACCAACAGAGACGTTTTGCCCCCATCGACCTCCCTCAGCAGGTCATCAAACAATGCCGTTTCCATACCTGAAGCCTGACTGGAATGGATCCAGGGCACTAGTTTCATCCAAAAGAGCCTGGAGTTGGTCAGCGACCACCATCTCTACCACTTTGCTGAGGAAAGGCCTATAGTTGCCAATGTTGTGTGCCACCAAACTTGCCAAAATACATAATGTAACAATTGATTTTTATTGTATTTTTCCCCACTTCCCCCCCACACCCTTTAGACAGGACTTGAGATGGCTCACAAAAACACATGAAACAGAGAAAACAATGCTGTCAAAATTAAACAGATTCTAATGCCGTTATTTAATTTATTTGATTTATATACCAGCCATCTTTAAGCCGGGGCCCTCTGGGTGGTTTACAACGGAACAAAACCATAAAATAAAAAATAATACATCAAAATTAAAGTGCAAATTAAAATATAAAGTGAAGCACAAAGTGAAAAACACACAATACATACAATTAATATAATTAATAGCATAAAATGCGGCAGCATGTAAATTAGTGTATGAGAGGTCCTGTTGCATTGGTAGTTGTTTATTCTGGGAAAGCCTGTCTGAACATTCAGGTGTTTAATAACTTTTTAAAATTGCCTCATGAGGGAACTTGGGCGGGAGGGTATTCCACAGTTGTGGGGCAATCCGGGCCTCTCGTGGGGTCAAAACTCTCAGGCGTTTCAAATATTGAATTTAATTATAATTAAAAGCAAGATGGGTTTTGATAATACGGCAGGTATCCGTTGCAAGTTTTTTTTCCCCAAAGAAAAATAACGTCCACTGAAATTTGCATCAAAAATGGGAGGACGTGCCAAGGCTTCTTGCGCTTTCGAGCCGCCTTTTTCCAGTCTATTCTCTTCCCAAAGGGTTAAAAGCATTGACTGCTGAGTCCCAGACCGTCTCTCAGGAAGAACAGAGGCGACGCTGAATGCCCACTTCCTGTTTTCGCCTTTGAGGTGCGTCGGCTTTTCCCTTCCCGCCGAAGCCGCCTCCCGGAGTTCCAGGAAGGGAATGCGAGTGCCTCCTTTTCCCGGGGGGAGGGGGAGGGAGAGAAGGGAGTAAACTCGGGAGGAGGGAGGCGGTGGGACGCTGAATGTTCCTGTTTTCGCCTTTGAGGTGCGTCGGCTTTTCCCTTCCCGCCGAAGCCGCCTCCCGGAGTTCCAGGAAGGGAATGCGAGTGCCTCCTTTTCCCGGGGGGAGGGGGAGGGGAGGGAGGGAGTAAACTCGGGAGGAGGGAGGCGGTGGGTCAGAGCTTGGAGAAGTGGGGAGGGGCGCTTGGTTTGGCTTTGGGGCGGGGGGGGGGGAGAGAGACGGGGGAAGGGTCCCCTCTTCCTTCCTTCCAGCCTGCGAAGCCAAGCCGTCCCCACGGATCCCTCTCCTCTCTTTGTCCTGGGATGGTTGGACACCAGTTCCCCATTCGTTGCAGTCCCCATTGGTGAGAGGGGAAGTTGGACTGGGAGGGGTCCTGGTCAAACTGGGAGGTGGAGGGAGGGAAAGTGAGCTTTTGCCTCTGCTTCCTAGAGAAAAAGTGGGTTTTGTAGGGGATGCATCTGGGGGTTTGGGGCAGGACCTCAGCCAGATCAGACAGAGGTGTCTTCAACTTCCTTGGGAGCCCTTCTCTGTTCAAGAGCCTTTCTCTGAAGCTGTTTGTTTTTCTAAAGCAAATGTGTGTTAAGTAGAAATGTATTCCTGCTGGCAGAGTTGAGGGAAGAACAACGTGTGAAGGAGGGACGTAGACACTATAGAAGGGAGGAATTTGAACTGTAGTTTGCACATATGCAGACTCAACGATTGAATATAAAAACAGTGATAGGTGAAGGCATCATGAAATTAGTGCAGCTGACTACATTTAATTGTCACACCCATCTTTGCTTTGAAAGGTGCCTCTTTGTCTTCCTTCCAACCTGTCTGGCGATGTGTCTTCCTTCCAGCCTTCAGAAAGCAGTGGGGCTGAGTCTAGAGAGAAAGCAGGAGAGATGTGTAGGGGAGGAGATGTTGAGGGCAGAGCCCTGGCAGCTGTATTTGATCCTGTGGCTGCCGGCCAGAAGGATCCTTTGATTGACATGACACAACCTTCTCATGCCTTGTTCTTCTTCCAAGTCTTGTTCATTCTATCATCCCTACAGAGAAATGAAGAAAGGCCAAATCATTCATCAGCGCACAGGTTGCTGTCCTCTGAAGATGCCGGCCACAGAGACTGGTGAAACGTTAGGAAGAACAACCTTCAGAACACGGCCAAAGAGCCCGAAAAAC